TGTGATAATACCACTGAACTGTAGTGGCTTACATGTTTAAAAAATATAGTCATTGTTAGATTGTTGTTAATTTCTTTACACCAAGAATGTAGCAATTTTGTACACCTGAAACTAGTATAACAGTGTATGTCAACTATACTTCAATGTTAAAAGGAGGGAAAAGAATGTTAGCAATATGAACTTTCAGAGGATCACAGAATAATTTCTGCATTAAATGAATATGCATTGTCAAAGATATTCCTTTTATGCAGTTGTCTCTTAATTGCTGAAATGGCTGGCACTTTTTTAAGATTTAAAGCAATAGTTGTTCAATATTAATGCAAAGAAGAGCTAGTAAAATATCTGACTGGATGGAGGAGGTGAGTGTTAAAGGACTTGTAATAACTAAGATAAAGTAAGCAGGTTTCTTCAGTCAGGGGATGAAAACTTAATTTTCCTGACAAAAGATGTTCATTGGCATATAGAGGGGAGGGGATCAAGATATTCAGATTGATTAAAATTCACTAAAAACTTTTAATTACAAAACTGTAGATGTTAATCTTTAACAATCAATGTTCCAAATTGCACTGTCATTCAAAATATATAGGATCAAACTTTGGGTCTGTGTTTTGAATATATTTGCCCCGTGGCTAGAAAACTTCGAAAATTTTTATGGTGCCAGATGTAATACTTCTCTACTTCTTTAAACATGCTTTAAACTGAGTGATCGTAGGCTTGGATTTACTTGCAGTTTTCTTTCTGTAAACTCCGTAGCTCGGTCAGCAGCTGCTCGCCTACGCCACAGTTCTCACTTTCACCTGCAATATTTTATTGCTTCTGCTACTTGGCCTCCCAGACGGTATTCAATTACTACACCTAACAGTAGCAGATAACTTAACTGTACTGTCCCTGCATCACATTGACTATCAGGTACCCTCCTTTTCCACTGGCAAGGATGTCATCCCTGTTTTTAAATATAAAAACATCGGATAATAAATCCCAGAATTCTATCTTTATAATTGACTTCATGGAATCACTTATGATAATAAAATTCTGTTTGTGTTTGCTAAGGACGACAATAACCATTCTAGATATTTCAAGTGGAAAAAGATTGAATACAGTAGATTAAAAAAAAAATACGACAACATTTCAAGATTCAAGAAAACTGCTGATAGCTCTCAGATTTGCCACTAACACTTGGGAAGTCATGAGGTTGCACGAACCACAAGAAACTTTTGGCAATGAACACATCTGGCCCCAGACATGAGACAGAAGTTCTGCGAGAAAGCTTCTGGAGATTGCAGCAACAACTTTGTGCCTGATAAAGCTCATGTTTTTGCTCACTGCTACTGGAGGAAATATTATAAGGCTTCTGTCACCTTCCTCCTTCCAATTCTTACATTAGAGTCTCTAATTTTCAGACTCTAAACCTGACCCTATTGGTACCAGATTATAAGAAAAGTGTTCCTGGCCTTCCAGCTGGGAGATCAGAGAAAGAAGGGAAAGTAGGGCTGAGAAGCATCAGACAATCTCATATTAAATGGTAGTGTATAATTTCTACTGTGTTGTAGTTACTCATGGGGTAGGTTAAGACTTGCTTATGACAAATCTGTTTGACATTATGAAAAACTAGGATCTTTCCCCAGCCTTAGGTTTCCAAGTAGCACTTAATGTATCTAAACTTTAAAAAAAGTCAGATTTTTTTTTTAGGATGATACCTTGAATTACAGAATAAAAATACACTGGAAAGGTAAGATAGTGAAAGCACACAGATTGCTGAAGAGACTATTGCTATATTCCAGGGGAAAGATGATGAAGGTTAAATTAAATGAAGTGACAACAGAGTTCAAAAGAAGGAATAAATTCAAGAGGCATTTTAACATAAAATTAACTTGAGTTGCTGAATAAGGGGAACTCTCAGTTCCTCCCCTTTCCTGTATCACCTTCTACTTTTCCAAACCCACGTGCCATTTAATAGATTACTGTTTGGCTGAATTGTCTTCTGTTTCTCAAATATATTGGATAGATGACAGATCAATAGATAGATGATAGATAATAGATAGATAGATAGATAGCCACTGTCAATGTAGAACCTCTCATCATTTCCCACCAGGATGACTGAGACAGGTTCTAACAACACAAACAAATTATTCTTCTGGAAAAAGCCCTTCAACAATTCCACATGATCTAAAGGAAAAATTCCAAACTCCATGGAATCAGATGCATACTTGATATATTTATCAGAGAAGGAGCCTGGTCTCTTCAACTTGTGGGTATCATTTCTTTTCACTTTTTTAGAGCAAACTTCTCCTGAATTCCATATAATCCTGGTAAATATTGCCAATTACTTTGTGGTAGGGAAGGTTTGCTATGTAAGAAAAATGGAGCCCATCATATGGCTTCCCTGCTTGGCCTCAGAGATATATCTAGATATTCGCATATGGCCCAAGTAGAGCCAATCAGTGTCCCCTGGCTAAAGTTTTTCTAGCTGGAACTTCTGGGGAACACACAGAGATACAGAGATGGAATAGAGTGAACACCTGTAATCTTGATCTTGACTATATGATAAAGCCATTCTGCATTTTCAGAAGATAAAGCAAAAATACAAGAAACAGCAGACAAGAAAGAAGAAAATTCTGCCCTGGGTTCAAGCTCAACCTGTATCCTTGTCTTTTTCAAGGTTTGGATGAGAGCAAAATCTCTTTTTTATTTAAGATTGAATTAAAATTCTGCATCATACTACCAAAAAGAATGAACAAACAAAAGAAAGAAGGAAGGAAATAAGGAAAGAAAGAGGAAGAAAACACATGCTTAATACCATTATGCAGAAGAAACTTAGTGGTCTGGTTATGCAGTTTCATGTTTTCCTGACTTTATGTATGCTGCCCCTTTTTCTGGACTCTTCTTTCTCCTTCCTTTATCCCCTTATCTAGATCCTTTCCACATTCCTTTTAAGACTGGTTCCAGTCTCACCTTCCCACTAATCCTTCCCTGACCCTTCTTTCTCAACAGATTTCCTTTGCATATTTCTATCACAATCCTTACTATATATACTATAACTTGTGCACATTTATATATGGATTCTCCATACCACTGGGAACCCTTTGAATGGAAGACTCATCTCTTTTTGTTTGGTTGGTTCTTCTAGGAAACTATTTCAGCAAAGTTATTGCTCAACACATGTTTGTTGAATAAATAAATGAATGACAGGAAATAGAGTACTCCAAGTCCATGGAAAAATATTATTCTTTCTCATTTTTTCTAAGACAAAATGTTATTATTTTCATCTATAAGTAGGTATCTATTACATAATTCTTAATTTACCTCCACATTAAATACTGAGTCAAAAAAAATGTATAAGCTAACATGAATATGTGTGGCAATGCATTTGCCCAGGTATCTGGACCACACTTTTTTTTTCACTTTTGCCTCCATTTTTTTTTTTTTTTGCGTATTGATATTTATAGAAAAAAATCCTATAAGTGACTAACAATAAAAAATATTTACCAATGTGAACAGCAAAATCAAAGACCAAAAGCTAATTCATAGTGCCAACTGATAAGGTTCAATTCAATTCCATTCAGTTCAATTAAATGTTGATCACATCACCTCCACAGCATGTATTGAACATCTACTATAAGAAATACAGTTTGTTAGGCCCTATAGGAGAGACAGATATAAGAAGTTATCTGTAAACAAATATTAATTTTAGCGAAGAGTGGAGAAATAGAGAGGACACTTTTGAATCTGTATCTCAAAGCTCAGTTTTGGTCAAGAAACCCTTGACTCTCCTAGATTAGCATTATGTTAAATAGATCATTAATAAACCCAACCAAGAGTTGATCAAGTCTTTATGAGCTTTGAAATTATGCCTTCGATACCGCCATGCAGCCTATAAACAATTACCAAGTTTGTACATATAAACATAGTGTTACAATTAATCTACAGAGTCACTTTATATCAGATTTGTGACAAAGCAAATTGAGCAGTGACTTTTACACCAGTGTGTACTCATTTTGTAGCTGCCTCCCACTATTTTGGCAAGACTTTCAAATGTTTTCTCGCTCCATCATGTTCCAGCAAGAAAGCCAACAGCTGCAGCCAAGGCAACAATTTTGGCAGTGGTAGTGCCCAGATGTATCTCCAGCAGTAGCAGTGACATCTGGACCACTTGCCACACTTGAGCGTATCTTGGCTCAATTCCATTTTCTGTATCCAGCTGGAGAGCCATGTCTAGTGCTATCTTCAAAGAGGGAAACAGTACTGTGAGAGAAAGTTATCTTCTTATCCTCTGATTATAAGATTATTCACATTATGTGTGTGTGGGTGTGTAGTTGCTGCATGTATGTGAATTTTGTGAGAAGGGTTAAAATCAGTTTGTTTAAAAAGAGAGAGCATTAAATACACTCCATGTCTTCAATGCACTATATTCAGTTATAGCTATATATTTGGGGTTATGTATGGACGGGTACATACACACAAGCAAGATCTGAGTCGGTTATTCAGACAATTCAGCATTTAAGAGACTTGGCCTATTGTAAGATGTGACTACTTCCTTTATGAATTCATTTGGTGCATAGAGAGTGTGTTCACTGCTAACCACTATGTGCTTTGAGGAAGTAACATGTAAAGATGCAGATTACTTAAACATAGCGTAATCACAAATGAGGAGTTCGGAATCTCACCACTGGAGAAAGGCATAAGAAATTCAAAAGAACCAGTAAGTAAGGCAGCACTTTAACATATCCATTATTTGAGGGCCTTGAAATGCATCATCTATACTTCATTATGATGTAAATTACTACTTACCTATTAAGAATTGTGCCGTTCACTATGCACCCAGTATCTTTTTTTTTCATTAAAAATTTTATTTTTAGAACCCATAAATGGGCAAATTCCAAACAGTAGTAATACAGAGTATTTAAGAACATCTTAATATTTCTTTCTGTCCATCTTTGTTTTTCTTTCCATAAACAAATATACTGGATTAAAGCAACAACACTCTTAACCCCAAGTTCAACGCCTGAGTACTTTCAATATCTATTTTGAACACAAAATAAAGCAGAGGCAGTTAATTTTATTTCCATTCAGAGCTTAGCAATTACTTTAGCTTCACATCATTCTGTCACAAATGATAACCAAATGGCCTACCTAAGTAGCTAAAATCATTGAACTATTGTAAGCCAAGTCAATGGTTTGTATAAAATTAATATAAAACAATAACTAGACTGGTACACATTTGTTTTGGGCCCTACAAGAACTGTGCCAAAATAAAAAGCTTCAGTAAAAGATGAGGTCATTGGGCAGAGGGGAAAGAGGAGTCATGTCATCAAAATTTTTGAGGAAAACTGTAGGTAAAAGGAAATCAGCCTAAGCGATTTTAACCAAAGAGAGGAGGAAAGGGCAGTACATTATCAGGGCTGATGACAATTAGGGAAAATACATACACCATTCCCTACAAACTTGTTCACTACCTCAAGAGTTCAGCATCAGGCTCTCCAGGGATTCTGTTATTCTCCCACTAAGTTTCTTCACATGGAACATAAGCCTACATTTATGCTAACAGCAGAGTATTAGATGGCTATTCAATCTGACAGTGAACAACAGGAAAAAAAATTGTTAGGGCCAGAGTGACTTCAGGCCATCTCAATACCCCTGAAAATAGGGGAAAAAAATGTATCATTAAACAATAGTATTCAAAGAGCACTGTGTTATCTAATGTGATTTATAAAACAAATAAAATTCAGTAATCCTCAATGGAAAAAATCATTAACATTTGAAAATTTGGAATGTTTTGATGCTGATTTTTTACCAACGTGGCACTCCAAACAGTTAAGCTGGAACAAATTCCAAACTCACTTGCATCACCTCAGTTTAATAATCCAATAAATGACGAAAAAGACAAATAATGAAAACAGCATCATATAGCACAGCAGCTTTGTTTGGCTCCCTCTAGATAAAATCTTCAGTTTTCCCATAGTTTTACCTAGAAATCCAGTTGGAGAATCAAATTGTGAATCCATTTCAGCTAATAATTTATTCTGATGTTTAACCTCATGGCCTATTTCAATGGAAAGAGATTTTATAGCAGTTACGTTGCTTCTCAGACTTTCAGTGAGTCTCTCGTTTTCTTCTTCACAGGCACTATAGCCACTGTTAGCATAGCCATAGTTCCCATGGTTGCCAGGAGGTGCTCCTTCACCCAGGCCTGCACGCCTCATCCTGCCAGAGTAGGGAAGAAAAAAGCAGATGGAGGGGTGGGTAGGAAGGGGCCGGGATCCCCTGGACGGCGTCTTCAGTACCAGGGCCCAGAGAAACACCAACTTCTTTCCCCAAAGCGCCACAACATCACTATGCACCCAGTATCTTATTTAATTCTCACAACACTGTGAAATAGACATCATTCCCATTTTATGGATAAGATAGATGAGTCTCAGGCAAATCAAAGGTCACATGACTCATAAATGGTGAAGCTGGATTTCAAACCCTCATCTGTCTGCTTTCAAAAGTCACTATCTCTACTTCTGTTCCTCCCCTAGAGCATCTAGTAGAGTAGCTGGCCAGTCAGTGCATTTCCTGAAATAAGTCCTATCATAAACAATGAAGTGTGTGGAAACCCAAAAGCAAGAGTTACAGAAGGGATTCCAATAGGAATAGAGTAAAGAATATGAGAAAAAATGGAGACAGGATATTTCAGGTAAGAAAATTTGACATTAATAGACAAGTAAGTGGACATCGACAAGGCAGGTTAGCAAGCTGATCGGCTTGTCTGCCACCACAGGGCCAAAGTAGACATTTTGATACCCACAGTGGTTGAGTGACACCCTCTGGATTACTTTCTTCTGGTAAAAATCTTTTACTATGAAGTTTGGCATCTCTGTTTGTTTTGACAACATCACAGGTCATGGCATTGCCAGCATTCTACTCCAAATGAAGTCAGCCCCTTCTCATTACCTTGGTCTTACTTCTGTACCATAGAGCTGAGGAGCGGTGCCCGACTAAAATGCCACAGGCTTCCACTGTTCTTGCTGAGGTTCAGTATAATGTCTTGAATAAATATTTCATAGTTTGCTACGTGACTTTGGTCAATTTTAGATGTTTTAAATGGCTGAATTTTTATAATTTTATCTGATTTACCTTTTCATTTTAAAGAAAGGATTTGCTGAGGTCCTTAGTCCGCCATTCTGGAAGTCCTACTCTCCCTGTGTCCGTTGTCTTTCATCCTGTCATTATTCCTTCCTGCCTGCTTTTGGGTTATTTGAGCCTTTTTAGTGTACTTAATGTCTTCTTGACTATATCTGCATATTTGTGTTAATCATTGTTCTTGGGATCACAATATAATTTCAACTTTTTAGTCTGTTTGGAATCATTTTTAGCACCTCAACTGAAATACATAACACTTACCACCATAGAGATCTCTTTATCCTACCAATTACCGTTTACTTACATTATATATTACATTCATGTACGTTGAATTCCATGACGGTTTTAGGGGCTTTGCTCTCAACCATAACACATATAATAAAGAACCATAAAAGAAAAGAATAGTCCATTACATTAATGTGTACATGTACCATTTCAGTTGCTCTTTTCATTTCTGATGTTCCAAATTTACTTTGGTTGCTTTCCTTTCTGTCTGTAAAATTTACTTTCACAGTTATTTGAGAACATATCTCCTAACAACAAATTCTCTAAGATTTTCTCCATTTGGGAGTGTCTTTACTTTGTTTTTAATTCCTAAAAGATATTGCCTCTGGATGTAGAGTTCTGGGTGGATAGTTACTTTCTTTCAGCACTTTACAAATGCTAGTCTGCTTACTCCTGGCCTCCGTGGTTTCCAGGGAGAAACCCAGTCATTCCTATCATTTTCCCTTATAAATAATGTGCCATTTTTCTCTGGCTGCTTTCAAAAGATTTTTATTGTCTTTAATTTTCAGCAATTTGCCTAGGATATAACCAGGCCTGGGTGTTTATCTTTTTTGGACTCAATGAGCTTTTTTTTTTCTTAGATTTATACCTTTTACTAAATTTTGGAAGTTCCCGGTTCTTTTTTTTTCACTGAATAATTCTTTCTTTCTGAAATTGTGATGACATGATTCTTAGAACTTTTGGTACAGTCTTAAAGGTCTCTGAGGCCCTTCTCATTTTTAATCTTTTTTTCCTCTATTTTGTTCAGATTAGATAATTTCTAAATACATTTTCAGTTCACTGACTCTTTGGGCATTTCCATTTGGCTATGGAGCCCAACCAGGGATTTTTATTCCAGTTACCATATAGTTCAATTCAAATATTTCCACAGGCTTCCTGTACTTTGTATTTCTTTGATGATATTTCTACCTTTCCACTCATTCCGCGAGGTTCGCCTTACTTGGAGTATTTTTATTATGGCTGCTTTAATGTCTGTGCCAAATAATTTCGATATCTTTGTCATCTCAGTTTTGGCATCTGTTGAATGTCTTTTCTCAAGGGAGATGAGGTTTTCCTTATTCATATTTTGCTGAGTAAATTGCATTAAATCCCCAGATATTTTGAATATTATGCTGTGAGACACTGAATCTTATCTAAATTCTATAGAGAATGTTGATATATTTGTTTTAGCAGGCAATTGGCCCAGTTAGGTTCAGACCACAATTTCAACTACTTTCTGTAGGATGAAGTCTGTGTCCACAATGTTTTTTCAGATCAGTCACACATATGTAGCACCCCAGTGGACAGTCTGTGACCTAGGCAGTGGTCTTTTTTAAGTTCAGTTCTCAACATCTATGATGTGTTGTTTAGGATCAGGTCCATGAATACACAAAACAGGAGAAAGTGCAAAAGCTCATAAACAAATCAAGGGGATCGCTTTCCCAAACTACTCCCTCTCCATAATCTCCCTGATATTTTCTGGTACCCTGGGCTCCTCTTTGGGCTCCTCTTTTCTCTGGGCCGAAAGCTGGGGAATTTTTTTTTTAACCTTGCACTGCTGTGTACTTCCCACAACTGTGGGATAAGCAGCAAGAGGTGGGGGGTGGGGGGGGACAAAAAACAAAACATGGCTATGCACCACACTCTTGGGATCACAGTTCTTTCAATGAGACGGAAGTTTTCTCTCTTTCACCGTTAAAGGCTCTTACAGTCCCTGTGATACCAACACCCTGGGAATGCTTGGTGGCTGAGACAAAAAGAATAGAAAAAAGAAAAGAAAGACAATGATGGACTTCCCATGCTCTTTTTGAATGTTAGGAGACTCCCTTCCAAATCCTCACAGCAGAACTATATGTCTGTTGGAGCTTTCTCCCTCAGCATCAGTTCCCATTTCTGGGTTTCCAGTCGCGTTCCATCTAGTCCTGAGAATACAGGAAGGAAAAAAATAGTAAATTCACCACCAGTTTGATATGATTTTGAATTTTACTCTCTTCCCATCTACTGGCTATTTTTTGCTTTTCAGAGTTCTCAAATAGTTTTCCAGGCATTTTCTCCAGGTTTTATGGCTTCATTCAGTGGGAAATGCAGAGTTTCCTTATTTCAACTTACCCAATATATTTTTGCTACTCCATTTATGTCTTCACCCATAACTCTAGTTGAGAATCATATCCAGTGCTGCTTCTATTTCAGCAAGTTGTCACCATTGGTGTTCAAACTCTTGTTTCTCTCTCTCTCTCTCTCTCTCTCTCTCTCTCACACACACACACACACACGCACACCATCCCCAGAAATACATTGACATTATTTAACAAGGTTTCACACAGGTCTCCCTTATTCTTTTCTGCTAGAGTTTAATCTGAGGACAGTTCTGTTAATCCACTGGGGAAAAATTCTGAACCTAAGTAAGTTCCTTTGGTTATGTGAGAATCTGGCAAGTGATTTTTTCACTCTTTTTTGTAAGCATGCATGCCAATTGTTTTCCTGGAATTGGTACCAATTTACTCATCAAAGGATAACCATCAGAATCCCTCCCCATTCCCTGTAGTAGAATGCATTGGCTCTAAGTCACAACATTTCTGCCAGGAAATGTACTTTTATGAGCTATGGTTGTTTGCAAAATATATGATTATAGCCTACAACTTGAAGACCTCCGTGTCACTTCATTCTGTCTAGGTATTTGACAAATTAATCACTGTCGATAGTTTGAGTGAATGAATAGCCAGAATGATGAGTCTTCTGGGGGTTAGGCAACTCAGAAGATCTTGGAACATTCTTCAGAAATGAAAATTCCTGAAATAGCTGATCCTATTATTTTAAAAGCTTTAAAGGCAATGACATTATCAACAAGAAAATACCTTAAAAACAGGTCTCCTTTGAATGCAAAATATCTATTTTTAACCATTTGCTCTCAAAGAATATGACATATACAAAATCTCTTTCTTGTTGGTATCTTAATTTCATTACCAAGTTACATTATTTGCAAGACATTTGGAAAGGTTTATAAACGGAATTTTTTTGTGTCTCTAAAAGGACACAAACGTAATTGCTAAAACAAAAACATACTTGTTGGCGCAAATACAGTCATGTTTCATGTAGGCTTTTTTTCTTAATTGAAAGAGAAAAAAATAGAAATTGCAGGGTGGTTTGCATCCATCTTCATAAAAGGCATTGAATGAATAATATTAGAAAATCAAGTTTTTCTATAGCTTTCTTGATGTTTAGCTTTGCTTACATACATACACATGTTCGTGATCATGGACTACTGACAATTTGCCAATTGTAGAAAATGTTGATTTTATTTACTTAATCTAAAAAGCAGAGGATTGGTCTTGGGAGGAGTGCAGACTAGGACATATTTTAGAATAATAAAAATTTTTGATTTATAGTTTAATTTGCAGCTTATTTTCAAAACAAATTTAAATTTTACTTGTAATGCATTTCTTCTTGAGATATTTATGATTTAACGCCTATGCTGAATCTTGTCAGAGAAATTGAGATGTGGCAGAGATTGCTAGTTGCACACCCAATATCCAGTTTTATGTTGTTCCTTTTATTACGGATTCCTGGAATTTTTAGGAGATGGCAATGGGCCCAGCAAAAAATTTCTAGCATTGGATAAGACTTCTGTGATCTCTTAAATGTGTCTCTAATAGAAAATTCCTTCTTATGCTTGATAATTTCTCCTTTCATCCTGTATGGATGGGATACACAACTATTGGAGCTCCAGCAATCATCTGTGAGCACAGAGAGCTTACATATGGAAACCACAGAATAAGGATGACAGAAAAGAAAGACAAAGGAGCCTAAGTCCATGAGGTCACTGCAAAATGACAATGTGATGCTAGGATATAATTTTGTAATAAAGGAGAGGCAGGAAGTCCTACTTTTTGAAGTTATTGTTATTTTATGTCTTTGTTGTTAACAACCAAAGTAATTTCCT